TCACTTTTCTCCCTGTCAAACACGGCTTACAAGGGATTTAGTGAATTTGGTCTGCTGGAGGCAATACCCATTTCCACAGTGAATACCAGGTTTTGATGCAGACTGTGATGAGAAACTTTGAGTCCAGTTGTGCTCAAAGTTCTCAAGAATCCTAAGGGAAGAAATTAAAAGCCTGTTTTCTTTTAATTAGCATGATACCCATTTTAGAGTGTGCATTATAACATCAGTGTATGCCCCAAAACTAATTACAATAATAGAGAATTGCAACTGATTCACAAGTTGCCTTTTTTTGTTCGTCTAGAGTGTGGAAAGACTAGTATTATTGGTCTTTAGGGATACTCTGGATTCAGTACTAGAAATTACTTGTTTATTACTAGAAATAATCAGAGCGTCATCATTAAGTTTCATGTAATTTTGAATTCATCTCTGTCTTTTTAATCTGGGGGTTAAATTACCCCCACATTTGAAAGGTCACAGACCGTATTCCTGAGGTTTGTTTTTAGAGGCAGTTCTTGGCTGTGCTAGCATTGGACAGAGTGCATTTGCTTGGACTGCTGCCATTTCCAAATTTAAGTCAGGTCTGTCCCGTTAAAAGACCAGAGGGAGACACCAACTCACAGAGTCACTGGCAAGTGAGTTCTTTTCAAAGGTAGGATATTGTGCTTTCTTCAGGCTAAAGTTGGTAGCTAATCAAGCTTAGAGGTGCTGTGCTTCTGGACAAGGGCCTCCTTAGAAAAAAAAATATTTTTTTCCTTTCTTTTATTCCCCCACCTTTTAAATGATACCTTTTGATTTCTGAAAATAGCCTCCCAGTTGCTACCATTTGTCATGTAAAGGACAATGTGATTCTAGGTGGCTGAAGCTAAAGGAGAATAGGCGTTGTTTAGGAAAACTCATAGTTTTAGTTTCTTTTAGGACTTGATCTCATCTTTGCTGCCTTTACTGCACTCTTGACGTTATTAACTAAGATCCTCATTCCTTTGGAAATCATTGTGCTGGCTAAAACAAAAACATCCAGTTTTTGTTTTAAGGGGAAAGTTTTTTTTTTAACTGGATATGTGTGATTTATTTTATGGTATGCCTTTCAAAAAGTTTCCAATCACCTGTATTTGCTTACATTATCAGTGTTATTATTTCTGCTCTCTAATAACCTGCATGTTCCCATCCTGCCTTTTGGGATAGAGAACTGAGAATTATAGGACTTTATTTGAACCAATTATGAGCAGTAGGTTCTCTCCTGCCAATAACCTGGTGTCATAAACATTTGCTGTTAAGCATTAATAACAGTTTTTTTCAGCATGAATACCAAAATTTTTGAACAAAGGTGATAGTGGGGTCTCAGATCTTTGAGCAAGAGGTCTGAGGCTATCCAGTTCATCTCGAATTAGGTGTGGAAACCCACGTGCTTCCCACTGTCCCCATGTTTTTAATGTGACATGGTGTTACCTGCCCTGGGATGTCTTTAAGTACTTCAAAGTGTTATCTATCTCAAGTTGGGTTTTATGCTTTTTATTTTCTTCTACCAGCCTTTGTCTTGCAACTTAGCATTTTTGTTGATGTGAATCAAGTCTTTTTTATCTATGATCTATCTCATTCTCCTTCAGATTGCAGCAGTTTTTTCCTCTGGCTTTTGCAGCAAATAATGCTAATACTAAACAATATAATTTCTCCTTCAGGTTGCAGCAATTCTTTTCTTTGGCCTTTCCACCAAATAACCCTGAAAACTGAACAGAACATAACTGCCACCCTGTTGTGTCAGTAGCCTGGCACTGGGCTCTGTAAGGTGGATACTGTTGAACATACCGCACCATGGCTCTATGGCTTGAGTCAATTTCCATGTTCTCTTGTTCCACTGATACTTGTTTTATCAATTATTTTTTTGAGCATATTCAATATGACAAGCTAAAATAGGATTCATGGGTTTGTGATCTAAGCTGGTCTATGAAATCAAAGCAACACTTATTGCAATAGGTCTAAATAAAATCCTTTCTTCTTTCCGAAATAATTTAGTTCAGCTAGGTTGTCCTCTTTCTCAAGTCTGACGGCATGGAGATTTTCTTTGTTCTGGGGTTCTCTTTAAGGGGCCACTTGAGTACCTTCCTTGGAAGAAGGCACTGCAACTGTACGCCCTAATAAAAAAGAATCTACATCTCTGATCAGCTAGTCTTTCTCTCTCTTGCTCCCCTCCTTCATCCAGTCTTTATCTTCCCCATCCTGTATTTTCCCTCCCCATATATCAGAGGGGATTACCTGTTGATTCAAACTCTATCCTGGAAGCTGCAAAAGTGGGTTGTTGCTGCTGATCAGGTTCATGGCTTGCTGCAGCCTTAGGGCAGAGATTGGGTAATTTGCCCATTCCTGTATATAATATGGGGTGGGGAGGCAGGGAAGAGAAAGAAAAACAATAAAAGGCTAGCAAAGATTTTTCAAATGGAAAAGGATTAAAGGCACACCTTCTTTGTTTAGGAAGTAGATGAATAAGTGATATGAATAAGGAATAAATTAAGCAGGTATAACTGGTTGATATTGATGAGCAAGGGATGCTACCTGACCAAAACAGTTAGCTTTTAGTTGGTAAGATGCGGGCTCTTTTCCACTGGCCCCTGTGGCAAGGAGTTCAGTCGAACTCAACCTTTATTTTTGCCAAAGAATGTGAAAGAACTGTGCTGTAACCAAATGTGGGACTCCCTCCCATCTGCTCGTGTAGTTTATTTAGAAAAGGTGCCAGAAAAGCCCCATCTTCCCAGTTACCTTTTCATCTGCTTTACACCATCATCTGCATTTTACTGAAATGAGAAGCAAAGCTGGTCAGGGCCAGATTTTTAAAATGCCTCACCTTCAACCTGGGCTTATAAAGGAAGTGCCACTCCACCTGTCAGCTCCCACTTTGGAAATAACAAAAGGTCCTAAATGGGAGCCGAAGATTTTTGATTCCAAAATATCCTGTAAGCCATGCTGCTCAATGTCAGCGCAGCACCTGTTGTCCCTGCCCACATCTCGCCTTCTGAATCTCAAGAGACCTTTGAGAGAAACAAACAAACAAACAAACAAAAGGGACAAACATAAAGAGGGAAGCTGCTTTAAACGACTAGCTGAACATGAATGAGAAAGAAGAATCCCCTGCTTATCCAGCCTAAAGAAGGCCAGTGGCTTTGTGTCTAACCAGCTCTTTCCCAGGAATTATTTTAGGGGCGATACACACTCTTATGTTAAATGAGCTCTACCAGTGCTCTGCTGTAAATCAGTACAAAATACACACTCTGTGCACACGCAGCACAAAGGAGTGGAAAAATAAGACACTGGTCTGAGCAGCTGGGTGCTCTGCTGATGCATTGCTTTGCAATGGAATAAGTTTAATCCTCCTGGGTTTCTGACTTCCCACTTCAGGCATACTCCCTGTGCCCGGCGGAGCTCGTGTTCTGGATGTCTAGCTGCATTATGCACAGCATATTACAGAATGAACTACTTTGTAGATATGTGAGTTAGCTTATGAATGGGAAGCTCCATAGTACCTTGAGAAGAGCTGTGTACTAACTTGATGGCTTTATTTTTAGACCTTGTCAAGCTTATTTAGAGCTAGCTCAGCTATCTTTATGTGTTATTTTATTGTGTTCTAGCTATACCTCCAGAAATACTTATTTTATACAGTTTACTACTGGTTCAGCAAGCTAGTCTGTTCACTGACCAGCTACTTGAGGAATTCTGTGCAAGGCCCTGATGGAAATCTGGAAAAGCATGACATATTCCACATTAGCTCTGTTCCACAGCATGTGGAGCCTCTGTCATCCCTTCATCTCCATAGAAGCTTGGTCCTACTTAATGGCACTGAATTCTGGCTCAGCATTATTAGTTACCTCTTGTTTTCTGCTACTCATGCTGTCCTTTTGTTTGAAGCAGTGTATGAGTTATGTGCCCAGACCTTTCCAATAACTTCCTGCTAAAGGCCTATCTTGCAGGTGAAACTGCAAGAGTTCAAACTTTGCACAACAGGGAAGGTGTATTAATATTTGGGTTTGACTTATGTGCGCCCCAAAAGTTGTACAGATTTCAGGCAGCGTCGTGACTGACTTTACTGTGCCATCAAGTATAAAAGCTTGGGGGTATATGCAGTGGGAAAATTAGTGACCTTTTTTACAGCACAACTATCACTCTTTGGACATGTAGTAAGCTGTAACATAAACTACTCCCTTGAAGGCAGTGGTTTAGCAAGGAGATTAGGGCTATGCATTGGTATCAGAATCCAATTCCAGGATGAGCTAGGTCTCCTAGATACCTTTAGCTTGGATTTCATTCACCGGTTTAATTTCAGTATATTAGAACACATCATGGTATTAAACTGCACAATTAATGTGGTCATAAAAGTAAAGAGCATGAACGTAGGCTTTAGCCTACGTGACTGGACATGTGGTTCATTTAAATCAGATAACTTGTCCCTACTTGTGATGAAAGACACTGGAGATGGAAGCATAGATTTTAGTGCATTAAGCAAATAACATGCTTATAGAGAAAAACTTACTCTGAGCCTCCAGAAAATAGACTGGCTTATATCCATCTGGGATAATACACAGTAACTGGTCTCTGGCATGTAGATACTGTGGTACTGGCTGTTCTAGAGAAATTAAGAGGTTTTATTACAATCAGAAGAATGCAGAGACATATCCCAGCCCTGAGGACTTTCACGCTCTGCTTCATACAAGAGAGTGCATCTAGAGCAAGACGTGGGAACAGCACCCAAGTTTGTGACATGACAGCTGACAAGATCCAGCACCCAAGTGTCCTGCTTGGATGTTCAGATTAGCATTTAAATGCTTAAAATGGGTACTGATGTGAACTTTTGAAAGCCTAAATGAAAGGATGAGGAAATCTGTTGAAAATACCTTTGTAGGGGATTTGGTTTATTGGTGGTCTAAGTCAGGGTTAAGAAAAAGCACCTCCCTAGTTTTCAAGCCTCTAATTTTTTTGATGATGAAATGGTCTGTTTCCTGTCATCTTGTGGCTCTAGGAAGACCGTTCAGAAAGGAAAACTCATGGATCTCACAAGCACAGTTATCATCCCACTGCTTTTTGGCAGCTTGGGGATCTTTGCCCTTTTTCGGCTACTGCAGTGGATGCGGATGCGAGCTTACCTCCAAGAAGCAGTGGTCGTGATCACAGGGGCTACCTCTGGCCTGGGAAAAGGTAGGTACTGAAAGAAGGGCAGCAAAGGCAGGACAAGCGGAGCATTGCAGAAGGGGCAGCGATTGGAATAAAGCAGTAATGAGCAGAAAGTTTCCATTGCTTTGAATTTTGAGAGACATCGCTTGCACAGCCGTATCAGTTATAACTATAGCCAGTGCAAATTTTGATGCAAGAAAGTCTCAAAATCTGTTAAGGAAAATTTTAATTATTCTGTATAAACTGGAGCTCATCAAAGAAAGGAGCAAGTTATGTTGTTCTTGTGCTGTCAGGGGTCTTTTCTCTGAATCCTGAAAAAGCCGGGAAGTCAAATTGTTTCTCTAAAACTTCACAGAACTGGTGTTCTGCATTCATGTTTGTTGTATTTCCAGATACCATGCCATACTTTCCACTCCTCTCTGCCCCTAACCCCCAAAGTTAAGGTACCTTTTCTCTTGTACATCCATTCTAAAATCAAGCTCTTGGCAATATTAACACCAGTGAGTATTTTTTTCTAAATAAAAACACAAGGGTTTTTTTCCAAATAGAATTTATTCTTTGTTTGAGTGGATAGGTTCTCTAACTCTGCTTTCTATAATTGCTTTAAAAGCTTCTTGAAGAGAAGACAAGGTGCTCTCTGCTATCAAGGTTTTCATTAGGATGAGTACATTTATGAAGAAATAAAGCTTAAATTGATGCGGTTCTTGCATGTGAGTTTGTCCTTAAGGGTAGGGGTGTTCAGTAACTGAATGGCCAAGGGAGATGAAATGGTCCTCTCTGCCTGTCGGAACCAAAATGCTGAGAGTGATAAAAGAATTTGTATTCCACAGCAAGAAGAGATAGAAGTAGTATCTCAGGAGGGACTTTCCAGCTGTGACAGGCTGGGCAGATGTAGCGCTGTGTGTTGTTGGGTGTATAGATTTCCACCATTGTATAGTAAAGTTTCCCCCTTTACTGACTCATTGCCAAGAGCTTATACTATTCCCCTCACTCCTAGTTATTAACATACTAGACCACCTCTAATTACTGTGTGTTCTTAAACACCCCTCGTTACCACCCACTGCCATCTCTTGCACAAATAAGCAATTTGTCTCACTGGGTCACAGAGGGATAGGGTAAAAGAATACGCAATTGCCTCAGCAGCTGGTAGCACTGAAAGGACAATAGCATGGCATCTGTTCTTCAGCCTTTTCTTGAAGAAGAGGATCACCTTGATGAAGCCATTAGCTCCAAGGCTTCCAAAACCTTTGGAGGCGTTCACTAAAATGAAAACTTCTAAGATCAGGCCCCACTCCATTAGATAATATACACAAGGTAACTGTAGTCCCTCTTAAGAAGGGCATATAGTCAAAAATGAAGAGGCACAGGGAAATTCAGCCAGTTGATGGGGGAAGATGCGTCAAGAGCACAACTGCATAACCAGCACAGTAACTGTGAACACACCAGCTGCCTCAGCTGCTGTCATGTGTCTGTCAAAGTCACAAGAAAATGGCATCTTGCTGCGACTGCACTGTAAATCAGCCTATCACTCAGGAGTAATAAAGCCACCTTAGACCCTTGCCACCTAAAATAAGTTTTAGCCTATTACCAGGTATGATGTGGATCTGCTGTTTCTCTCTGGCATTCAAATATCTATTTTTCTCTCTTCCTTGCTTCCTCCAAAGAATGTGCAAAAGCCTTCCATGCAGCTGGCTCCAAGCTGGTGCTCTGTGGCAGAGACAGTGAGAAACTCAAAGACCTGGTGCAGCAGCTTTCTACTGTGACCAATCACCGAAAGAACGTAAGTGTGGGAGAAGGAGAGGCTTGTTGTCTTGTGGGGCTGGGATTTCTGTTTGTGTTATTACAGAAGTTACAGAATTGCTTGTGGGTTGTTCTGTTGAGCAATCGGAAGAATGCAATCTGTGGTTAGGGATAGATACTGCTATAGGAGTACATTGAGCTGACATGTCATATCTTGTAAAAACCCTACAAAAATAAGCCATCTGAAAGACTCCTTGCCTTGTAATGGAAGTGAAAGCGTAGGGGAGTGCAGAGTGCCCAGACGCCCTTGCATCTGTATGTCACATACTGAATCTGGGAAAGTGATTTTCCTTCTGTTGGCTTTTACTTTTGATGTCTAGTTCTGCTGACAGTGGCTAAGAAAGGTATTGCTGGCTTCTGAAGAAGACACGTGTTAAGTTTTTGACTATTTTAGATGCATTTTCTTTATTAAGACAATAACAAACTTTAGTACTTGAGGAAGATCTCACTTGCCCCTTTCCTGTGCTCTGGTATAAGGAACAGGCTACAGGAGCAGAGAAAGATGAAAGCACAACCTGCTTCTGTCCTATATTCCTACCAAATGGAACTGCTGCACTCTAATTGTACAAGGTTTGGATGGTCTGCTTCTGTGTTTCCAGAGCTGTGAAACCCCATCTCTCCTTTAAGTCATCAGCATGAACATACAGCACATTCAGCACAGCCTGAACTGGTCTTTTGCCAACTTTTGTTTATTCACAGACACACAAACCTCACACTGTGGTATTTGACCTCTCGGACACTAAAACTGTCCTAGACGCTGCTGAAGAGATCCTGAAGTACTTGGGTCACGTAGACATACTGATCAACAATGCAGGCATTAGCTTCCGGGGCACAATTGTGGACACAGGACTGGATGTGGACAAGAAAGTGATGGAAACAAATTATTTTGGTCCTATAGCCCTCACCAAAGGTACTTGTGATCTGGATTACAGGGGGGCAGTGGATTTGGCCGATACCTTTTGCATGCCAATACAACTAAGCACGGCTTAACTTCTGTTTGTAATTGTATTTGGTACAGTGCAGTATAAGAGGGAAGGAAAGTTTTGCTTTATAGCAGGCCTAAAGTTGATGCTTGGGCATGACTGCATGGGAAGTACCTGATTAGAGATACCATCTTGTTTACAATACACCTCCTGACACTAGTCTGGCAGGAACTTATGAAGAGAGATATGGTTAGCCTGTCTGCACTGATAAAACCCTAGAGAACGCAGTATGGGTTCTAGGTGAAGCTGTTGCTCTTCTAGGAAGCTTCTTCGGTTACACAGAAAGTTCAGCCTGGAGTGTGTCAGCTGCAGGAACTGGAAAGACGTACTGGTGGCAGAAAAGAGCAAGTCCTGCTGACCATGCCAGTGGGAGATCATAGCAACTATAACAGCCTTTGTGCAGCCTTGCTGGCACAAGGATTCTCCTCATAGGTGAATGTCCCAGCCAGACTGCAGCTTCAGTTAGAAGCTTCCTAAGCAGTATCCCTTGCCCAACCCCTGCACTGAACAAGGATCTTGTAATTCACTTAGGCATCTTTGAATGCTCTGAAAGCATCGATTCTTGACAGCAGGAATGGCAGGACTGTTTTTCTGAATGGGTCTTTTCTGTCTCTTGCTAGCACTTCTCCCCTCCATGATCAAGAGGAGACAAGGCCACATTGTGGCCATCAGCAGTGTTCAAGGCAAAATAAGCATTCCTTTCAGATCAGCATGTAAGTACCTCCACAGAAGATGGGGAAGACATATTTGGGGCACCGGACTGAATGAATATTTGGCTACTGATGCCACATTTAGCTCTTCGTAGAGCTGGCTGCATGCAGGGAAGGCAGAGCTGTACATCATTCTTTGTGTGATCACAAATCTCTGACAGCTGTTGAGGAAGGCATTTTCAAACACAAAATCTTAGCCCTGTCCTTTTAGGTTTAGCTGTTAAGGGATGGGGGAGGAGAATATGTTTTCAGTGTCTTGAAAACAGCTTGATATTCCTATCTTAACACTTGAGAGCCCCTATAAACTTACTGATTATTTCCATAATAATGAGGAAATAATGAGGGGCTCTCAAGTGTTAAGATAGGAATATCAAGCTGTTTTCAAGATGCTGAAAACAAATTTCCATAATTTTATTGCATTTTATCCTTGTTGTTTGCCTGGTTAATCTCCTATAAGAAAGTAGGAACTTTTTGTCTGAGTAAGTTATGAAGTGCCATAGGAAAATCAATGCCAAAATAAAAGCCTAAACTGTGATCTTGATCCAGCAAACTCTTTGTGTTAATCAGTTATGACAAAAAATAATATTGGTGAGATTACTGGAAAAAGCCTTATAAAAGATGGAGGAAGTAAAAAGAGAGTGTTTGGCATACAAGCATCTGTAAGTCACTGAAAATAAACATAAAAATGGAGAAGTACAGTGGTGATGGCATAAGTGTGGTAGGGCATGATGCTGAGTGAAGGAGAGCCTGGAATATCTGGGCCTTCTGGTCTTGCAGGTGATGTGGGTACAATTGCACCAAGCAGCATGCTCTAAAGAGCTTCCATAGCGCTTGCAGAGTGACCAGAACAATGTGGGCCTGGCAGCACAGAGCTCAGCTCTTGCCTAGGTCCTCAGACAGGGTATGCAGCCTGCGCTACGCTCTGTGCTGCTGGTGTCAGCCCTGCAGACAGGCTGAGGTGATGGCAGTCACGGTGGTAGTGACCAAGTATACATGGAAAGGGAGAGAGCAAAAGGACTCACTCAGCCATTTAGCAGGGGGAAATCCTGCCCTAGGCCACACTTCTACTCCTGTCTGCTTGTGTGATCAGGTTTTGACTTGTGTGCAGCCAAGCCCTGAACCTGCTCTGCAAGTCCATAACGCCCAGGGCGTGCAGGCTGGCAGGGCGCTCGGCAGCGGCGCTCAGCTCTGCCCTCCTGTACTGGCTTCACAGTCCCCCAGCCCAGCTTATCAAATGCTTCCCGGGCCAGGCTTCATGTCTCCTTTATCGCGAGCGGGAGGCAACTTGGGTTCACTCTGTAGTGCTTTGGCATGGCTGTGATATTAAGCTCAGGATCCCAGCCAGTTTCCAACTTGAGTATTTATATTTTGCCTTCCTAAATTTACCAACTGCCTTTCTCTCGCTCCTACTACCTGTTGCTGCCATTCACCAAAAAAACCCCAAACCAACAAACCATCTAGTTGGAGAACAGCTACTGGGCTCTTGCTGAGAAGTGGCTGCATTGCAGTGAAAAACCCATTCAGGGGAATGATTCTTCCTTCAGTCCTGCTCCTTTTCCTTAGTGCATAGTTCTTTTCCTGTTTTTCAGATGCTGCCTCTAAGCATGCTACCCAGGCCTTCTTCGATTGTCTACGAGCAGAGGTAGAGCAATATGACATTGAAGTGACAGTTATAAGCCCCGGATACATTCAGACAAACCTCTCTCTCAATGCTGTAACAGCAGATGGATCTCGCTATGGAGGTGAGACATGATTTTGTGCCCTATATCTAAAGCATGTCCACCTCAATGAGTTACTTCAAAGTGTACTCTCAACATACGACCTCTGGTGGGGACACAGGTTAGCCCTGAAGTATCAAAAGACAACTTTGGATGCAGGGTAGGAACAGTAACCCGCAAAATTTAGCCTTCCTAGACAGCAATTACTGATTACTAGCCCAACCATGGATTATACCTGCCTGTGGTCCCATATACAACTGGTGTAAAAAACAGAACCATACAAACAACCGTGTACAGTTAGAACAGAGCATTCTTAGGAAAGGTACTTAAGTGTGGGCTTACCTGCTAGCGTTGGTGTTTACTCGGCTTTCCTTTGGCAGTTATGGACAAGAACACCGCCGAAGGACAGACAGCCGCAGAGGTGGCTCAGGTGGTTCTCAATGCAGTGGGACAGAAGAAGAAGGAAGTACTGGTAGCTGGCCTAACACCATCCCTGGCTGTCTATCTGCGAAACCTCTTCCCCAGGCTCTTCTTCACCTTAATGGCAGCTAGAGCGAAAAAGGAGAGAAAAGCAAAGGACTCTTAAAGCTCAGCTCATTCAAGAAGTAACTGTAGGGAGAGGCGAACCCCCTGCAGTTTGGCTGGGACATTGGTGGAAGTGCTCTTGCAGGGAAAAACCTTTCCCAAAATGCTGCAATTTGCCATTGCATGGAGAGCGGGAAGTGGTTTCCCCCACATCAGGGCAGGCCCCACTTGCTGGAAGGCAGCACCTACTCCTCACCTGGAGAAGGGTCCTTGGACAAAGGTGGAGAGCTGAGGCTGCCAGGGAGAGTAACTCAAGGGAATGCACTTTGCAGCAGGGGAGGCCCATGTGCTGGAAGACAGCCCCTTACCTCACCTCACTCCAGGCATGCTCAACTTTATTGGCCTGCTACAAATAAAACCCGCCTGTCCTTCACACAAGCAGATCTTAGCTTTCCCCACCCTGTGGCCCCTGTGAAATACAGTCCCCAGCTGGGAACTCTCGTGATCAGTGTCTCCTTCCCACTCCTTCCAATCTGATCTAGAACGTGTTGCTTGAAGTGGAAAACTTCAGAGCCTCTGCTTGTTAACAGATCAGATGATTTGGCATGTTAAGCTAAAGTCAAGTCCAGTGCCACTTTTAAAGTTAACTGATGTAAAAATGTAAGTTTTATTTGGCAATTATTTTATCTGTCTGAATCATGTCTTACTGAGGTACGGGACATTTTAACTCTACTATCTGACAGTGCAGTATTAACCACAGCCCAAGTTAATGCAGGGGAAGCACTGAAAAGATATAAAAAAGTAAAAGCATAGCCAGGTATGCTGTTGTGTGTAAATACTGTGCAGCCAATAGCCACATACCTGGTCCATCCGCAGGCCTAGAGCACAGAGTTGGTGCGATTCTGCAGATGCCAGGCAAGCAGGGGAAAAACTGTGTGCATAGGGTGGACAGTAGAGGAGACAGACCCTTAGTTCTCACCAGTTTTAAAGCAATCCCAGATGCTAGTTAGGATCGCATCCGGTGGGGGGACGATCTTCACGCAGGCTTCAGGGAGTCCGACAGCCTGAGGCAGTGCCGTATTCCATTCTTCACCCTTCCTCCTCATGTTGTGAGGGATACCAGCACCACTAGGAAAAAGGAGAGGCTGCACAGAGAGACTTCAGTAAGGACAAGAATAATCTTTTTTAACTTAAAATAAAGCCTACGAGTAGGAACAAGGTCCAGACCCCTGCTGCCGCCTCCATGCACTTACCAGCGTTCTCCATGTGTACTGCCTTGTATGTCCTGCCTGTGAGCGCACATCCGACGACAAATAAATTACATTGTTATGAAATTAATCCTTTGTTCTACTTCAGCTCCTCAGAGCAGGTAACATTAGAGGAAGGGAAGGCAGGAGGATTTTGTTTTTCCTTTCTTACATTCCTGCAAGGTGCTGTTGTAACAGTTGTAGTTGCAGAACAACATACTTCATCCCAGCCCCTCCATCTGCTAGTTTACAGTAGACATAGTGTGAATCCACACAGAGGATTAGTCACACTAAAACTCTGTAATACAGGTGTGCAGTGTCAG